TTTTTTGTCGAGCGGGAGTGTCCCGTCCTGCAGATAGGAGACAAACTGGTTGCGCCAGTCCCAAGTTAGATTTAAAGAGAGTACCTCAGTGTGATCTATGGCTGAATGGAGGAGGGTGACTATGTTTCCCTTGTTGATGTTTTTGGTGGCTGCAGCCAATTTGGCTAGGCCGTCTGCTTCGATGTTCTGCGCCCTCGGGATTTGTTCCAGGCGGCATTCGTCGAATTCGGGCATCAACTTGTGAATTTCGGATTGATATTTCTGCAGTCTCTGTTCCTTGATCTGGTAAGTCCCGGTGACCTGGTTTACCACGAGTTGAGAATCGCAATGGAGGATGAGTCGTCGGGCTCCGTACTTGATGGCCAACTTCATACCTGCAATCACAGCCTCGTACTCGGCCTCGTTGTTAGTCATCTCGGGGCATCGTATGGACTGACGAATTATTTTGCCCGTGGGGACCTCGAGTACGAGTCCCAGTCCCGATCCCGAGGCGTTGGAAGCGCCGTCAGTGTAGAGGGTCCAGAGGTCGGTACTAGGAGAGGCACGAATGGCCTCTAGTTTCTCTTCTGGGAGATTCTCTGTACTGAAATCGGCAACAAAATCTGCAAGTACCTGCGACTTGATGGCGTTTCTCGGGTGATAGGATATGTCGTGCTCGCTGAGCTCTATGGCCCATCTTGCGAGCCTGCCCGATAGCTCGGGTTTGTGTAGGATGCTTCTCAGGGGGAAGGTCGTTATAACTTTTATTGGATGACACTGAAAGTAGGGTCTAAGCTTTCGTGAAGCTACGACCAGTGCCAGAGCCAGCCTCTCGAGGTGTGGATACCGTATTTCGGCGTCCACTAGGGTTTTGCTGATATAGTAAATAGGAGACTGCGTACCTTTGTTTTCACGGGCCAGGACTGCGCTGACGGCGACTTCGGACACTGCCAGGTATATTAGCAAGGGTTCGCCAGGGTTTGCTTTAACTAGCAATGGTGGCGAAGACAGGTATTCTTTCAATTTTTTTAAAGCCTCGGCGCATTCCTCGTTCCATTGTAGTCCGTGATCTTTTCTCAATACGTTAAAAAATTTATGGCACCTGTCGGAGGATCGCGAGATGAACCTGGATAGGGCGGCTATTCGTCCTGTCAGCTTTTGTACCTGTTTTTTACTGTGCAAGGTCTCGGGTATTGCGTCATCGCCTTGATCTGGTCAGGATTGACTTCGTTACCTCGTTGTGATACGAGGAAACCCAAGAACTTTCCTGATGCTATGCCGAAGGCGCTTTTTTCTGGGTTTTATTTCATCCCATACTGTCGTAGTATCTCAAAGGCTTCTTTCAGATGGTTGAGGTGGTCTTCTTTGTTTGCCGACTTTACCAGCATATCGTCGATGTAGACCTCCATGGTCTTGCCAAGCTGTTCCTTGAACATCCTGGTAACTAGCCTCTGATACGTCGCCCCTGCGTTTTTGAGTCCGAAGGGCATCACCTTGTAGCAATACGTTCCCTGGTGGGTGATGAAAGTTGTCTTTTCTTGGTCCTCCTCGGCCATCATGATCTGGTTGTAGCCGGAGTAGGCATCTAGGAAGCTTAGCAGCTCATGTCCTGCTGTTAAGGTTTGTGAAATCTACGCACATCCTCCACTTCCCGTTTTTCTTTTTGACCATGACGACATTTGCGACCCATTGGGTATACTTTGATTCCCTTATGGACCCGTTGGCCAGTAGTTTATCTACCTCTTCGCTGACGGCCTCGTTGATTGCGGCGTTGAACTTTCTTCTAACTTGCCGCATGGGTGGATATAGTGGGTCGGCGTTCAGTTAGTGGGTGGCATTGTCTCTTGGTATCCCCGGCATATCTGAATGAGAAAAAGCAAATAGATCTGCGTGGTTAGTTAAAAATTCATAGTACTTACTTGGGTCGCAGAGGCCGTGTCCGATGTAGGCTTTTCTCGAGTGGTCGGTGCTGTCCAGTTGTACTGGGTTGAGATCCTCGACCGTTGCTTTGCAGGCTTCTACGATGTCCGGATCTTTGATGGCTTCCATTGTCGGGTCGACCTTAGTCCCCGACACGACTGATTGCTATGCTTCCGCACTTGCTCCTTTCAACTGCTTGGTGTGTGAGTAGTCTTGAGCGATTCGGTAGCATTCTCGTGCGGTGCGCGGCTCGCCCCGAATGCTAAATATTCCCTAAGGGGTGGGGAACTTGATCACTTGGTAGAAGCTTGAGGAGACTGCTCGCATGGCGTGTATCCACGGGCGTCCTATGATGGCGTTGTAGGCTGTTTCTTGGTTCATAACGTGGAAAGTGGTTTCCAGCGTAACTCCTCCTGCTAAAATCGGCAATGATACCTCCCCGGAGGTTCGTTCCACTGCATTGTTAAAACCTGTCAGTGTTATGCAACACGGTATTATCCTATCTTCGAGCCTCATTTGCGCGAGGACCCTTGGATGGATAATACAGGCGACGCTTCCGTCATCAACCATGTTCTCTTAACATCAGTGTCAGCAATACGTAAAGTTATGACCAAAGCATCATAATGAGGAAAAGACAAACCGTCGCCATCTGACTTATCGAAGGTGATACTTTCTTCGAAGTCATCATACCGTTCGTGGGCGATTGTTCGCTTCAGTTTGTGTGAAGTGGTGAACTTTACATGGTTGATTGCTGAATCGTCGCCTCCTCCGACGATCATGTTGATGGTGCGTGTCGGCGAAGGCGGCTTTGGCGGTCCTTGAGGTTGATCCCGCCCGCGTGCGAAGTTGATCTTTCCCTTGTTGCTAAGTACCTCTCTTAAGTATCCTTGGTTCAGCATTCTGACCACCTCCTGCCGCAGCCCTATGCAATCTTCGGTTTTGTGCCCTCGTTCTTGGTGGAACTCGCACAGGACATTTGATTTTCTCATGGCGGGGTCTGATTTCATCTTCTGCGGCCATTGTACCTTGGTGCCCAGCTTCTCCAGTGCATACACTATTTCTGAGGGAGACACACAAAAGTTATGGGCGGATAATAAAGGGGGCATACCTCTTTCATTACGGAGTGGGGCGACATGTCGCTGCAGTGCTTCTGTGTGTCTAGGTGGTGGTGGATGCGAGGATCTGACGTAAGGTTGCTGCCTTTCTTTGTTGAAGCGCGAGGATTGTTCCCACCGGCCCTCGCTGCGTCGATCCCTCCTTGCTTCTGACTGTATTATCGTGAGCCGCTGGGTTGGTCCGTTGAGGTCATCCTCGTCGGCTCGTACCTCGGCACAGAAGGTGTTGTGGATCTCCTCCCATGTAGTGGGACGATACTTCATGAGTCGGTTTAGTAGCTTTTTGGTTGCTCTCGAACCATCTCTGCTCAGCCCGTTTTGGAAAGCTGCGATCGCCATACCTTCCGATACGTTTGGTAGGCTCATCCTTGCTCTGTTGAATCTGTCCAGGAAGTCCCTGAGTCCCTCACCTGCGGTTTGTCGAACGGCGAAGATATCGTTGACCCTGGCCTCTGCTTTCTTAGCTCCTGCATGGGCGGTGGCGAACTTATCCGCCATTTCTTCGAATGTTGATATCGTTCTGGCTGGCAGTTGTGAGTACCATGTTAGCGCCCCCCCCCCCCCGTCAACGTTTCTCCGAACTTTTTCAGCAGTACGGATGGTACTTGTTCCTTTGACAGATCGTTACCCTTCACATCGGTCACATAGTGGATCAGGTGGTCTTCGGGGTCCGTCGTCCCGTCATATATCCTTAAGTAGGGTGGCATCTTGTGGCATCTTGAAGGTCTTTGGGATCGGGTGAGGTGCAGCTTCTTCGCTATATGGCTATTCGACGAATCTTCCCACGTCGCGCTTTGGTAGTAACTTAGGAGCGCCGGGAATTTTGTCTACTCTTTCTTGATGCTCTTTCATCTGATCCCGAAGTGCCTTGTTTTCACTCTCCATTTCCTCCATTTTTTTAAGGATGGCTGCAAGTGTGCCATCGCTGGTCTGGCCATTGGTGTAGTTGTTGTTTGTACGTACAGTATCGTGTTCACTGGTGGTAGCGATGTCTGTCGTCAACGGGTTCTTAATGTTGCTTTGGGGCGATTTTTCGAGCAAGCTGCCCAGGGTGTTCGTCAGCCATTCTTCCAGTAGCTTCTTGACCACCGGGGGTGGTGCTTCTTTGACTGCAGACGTGGAAGCCCCCTTTTCTTGCATGATCGTCAGACCTTCAGATGGGGAGGGTGAGATTTCTCCCTCTTGAGTGTTACCAGGTGTTGTGCTCAAGATGTTTTCTCTGCCGGCCTCGTTGAGGGGGCCCATGAGGTTGGTTGTGACGCCTGCTATTGCTTTCAATCTTGCGTCATTTTCCGCCATTTTTCGATTTCAGTAGGGTGTGAGGTTTATTTTTGATGTTCTAGGTGCAAACTATGATTTCGATTGCCGAAATCCCCACAGACGGCGCCAAATTGTTTGAATCAAAAGATACTAATTACTTTGTAAGCGAAAACAATCAAAATGAATCAAAGGTAAATCGTAATCGAATATAATTAGACCTAGAAATATATATTATACTTGTGATTGTTTCAACAACTTGGATATTCAAAAGAGAGTAAGAGAAAGCTTGTTGAGAGAGAGAGAGAGAGAAAGAAAAGATAGCTTCTTATTGAAAGGATCCCCCCTTTACAGCATTGGGATTCTCCTTTATATAACAAGAGAACCCCCTCAAAAAATAATAAAATAATACAGGGATAGGTCACGTGCTTTCGAGGAGGCGACGAGACTCAAGGGCATACTTTCGCTCTGACATTCTTAGGTCGTCCCGTCTACTTCGGCTATTGCTTAGTCGGGGGTCGTTGCTTACCATAATGGGCAGAATTTGACCCCATACAGTAGTGAGTGGCGATCCAACCCTGATCGTTTGCGAGTTTGGCAGAACTTAGTGCTTTTGGATTGAACCATACAAATATGTGAGACAAACGAGTACAAATAGAGTTAGATATAGATTTTAGAACTCATTATCTCAATTTAGAACCCACAAACATTTAAATTCCGAGTCGGCCATTGCCCATTCTATCCACAAAGTTAAAGGCATGCAAGCACATACACACAAGAAGAATTTTCCGATTCTTCTGCATTTCACCTTTCTTCGTCTATGTTCTGTTTGGGGCATGTTCATTAGGTGCTCCCTTTCTCTTAGCTGATTTATAGTAGTGTTTGTTTTGGGGAATAAAAGCTTTGATTTTGTTTCTAACATTTCACTCTACAGCTTTGATTTTTGTTTCTAATATTTCACTCCTTTTTCTTTATCCAGTTTATCAGAAGAATCGGAAAATTCAGCAACATCTTTGCAGGAATCCAGCATGAGCGAGCACGAAATATCCAGTCTTTCAATCGGTAATTCAATTACCATCCTCACATAACATTCAACAAGCACCAGTGGTCTAGTGGTAGAATAGTACCCTGCCACGGTACAGACCCGGGTTTGATTCCCGGCTGGTGCATTTAGAGCTGTGACGAATACTGCGCCCCCATGTGGTCAAAAGGGTCTCCGCACTTGTCCGAATTTCAGGATGATACAACAGCGCATCTGAGCTCCATTAATTTTTGTATTTTTATTTCTTATATTTTTGTGTACTGAAGCCTCTGGAAATGAAAATGCTCAATAAAGCGGGTAGGTCTTACTAGCCCTTACACGTCAAACTTATTTACTCATTCTCCAAGCATCTGGTAATTCTGGCTGCCTTTCCGCTCCTCACTTTGGTCCCGCACTAGTCTGAATTCGAGGACGATATAATGGCGCATCTGAGCTCTATCAATTTTTGCATATTTATTTCTTATATTTTGGTGTACTACCACATAATTAGCTTATTCCATGAAAAGATTGTGGACTCCTGATTAGGATAATTTTGATTGACATTTCGATAGGCCATTTGGCTTATTTATTCCTTGATTTTCAGCTTTTTCTATTTAATGTTTTACTGGTACTTAGAAGTATCCAAATCAAGTTCCATAGCTAAAATCAGTTCGGGGTGTAGCCATCGCCAATCCAATGAATTCATGACATAAGTTTATACAGTTTACCTTAATTTGAATAAAATAAAAAAGAATGACTAGATCATTCATTCTCATTTTTTATTTGACTTTATGTTAGATTGGCAAATGGTTACTAATTGAATGAAAGCAAATAATAATATAACACATTGCAATTTACAAAGATGAGTAGATTTACAACTCCACGGCTTGCCTCTATACAGATGTGTATATTTGAGCAGTGCTAATTTTATACTGCATTCACTCATATGAATCTTCAGTCATCACAGAAATTTTGATTATTTTTATAAAAAGAGCAAATTTTCATTTTTAACCCATCACCTTTTGAAAGGGACAACAAACCCCCTAGATCTAGTTGTTGATTCAAGATCAAGGAGTTTATGTCTCATTCAAAGGGTGAAGGAGGTATTGTTTCCCAATCCCAAAAGTTCAAGGGGTTAAATGAAATTTACTCTCATTGAAATTTTCTCTTATAGACTTAATACCCATATTTTCTCACAGACGTTTTGTGACTATTTCTTTAGAACAAACCTGGCAGAAACTTTTCCTAAAGGATTATAACAATCCAAAAGTAAAAAGGCTAGTATACATTGATACAAAAGAATTACCATAATCCAGAAGACTAATGTTGCCATTCCTCAACATAAATTGAAAATACAGAAATTTGCCAAATCAGTAAACAAAATCACACTTACCGCCTTTTCTTTTGAGACTTAGGAGGTTTAAGAACATTCCAGTCCAGTCTATGTGGTTTTTTGGAACTCTGACTACTACTAGGTGATTCCGCTGGATTGCCAAGAACTCTCTTATGTGATTTGTTTGGATACTGCGCCTCAGAGGATGTCTCGTCTTGCTTCCTTTTAAGATCTTCGTTAGGAGAATGACACGAGTCATCCATATTAGAGTTCTCCAACCCACATTGTGATGTTCCATTTTCTCTGTGGCAACGAATAGTAAGTAGTTATGAGCTGAGATAATTTCAGTCATTCCTTGGCTTAGCAACTCAAACATCTTTGGTATAAATAACAATTGAACTCATCACGAAACGCCTTGAAAGACGTTATGGGGCTCACAAATTTTTGAAATGCACCTAATAAAGTATACAATAATCAAGAAATTCAATGCAATCATGGGACAAACGATGCCATCCTAGCTTTACATCTCCTAGTTTCCCTATCTTAATTCACCATTTTTATTTATAAACGGTGTTAATCCTTTTACATTTAATCATAGTTTATTTATTTTATAATCATAATTCGTTTATGCAATCTTTAATACTTTATCATAGGGATCTTATACAATATATCTCCTATTATCTTTTTTTGAGAAATACAATATGTCGCCTATTATCATCTCTACGTAACAAACATTCACTAAGAAGGAATTTTCATCATATTCGGCTCAAAGATATACTAGGAGAAAATAATGTTATCTTTCTACTGATGAAACAGATGTGAAAAGATAAAGTCAAGATGGTATATAGTAGAAGTAATGGGCCATAATTCTTATCGTATAACAACAATGGATGGAGTACACAAGTTACTATGAGAACTTTAAGCATCAAACACTGACCTTTTCGAATTTATTTCACTCGTCTCTGAAGAACAAGCAGCAGAACCTTCAGAATGTGGTTTTGACGCTTCTTCTCTTAATTTCTACCAAGACAAGGCTTTGGTGAGACAGGATAACAACCCACAGGAGAATAGGAACTGAACAGTCTTTTCAGAAAGTATACATAATGCAAACCTTATACTCACATCAATAGAAGGATTAAAACACTGAAAAGACATCCGACCCCTTGTAGTCCCAGGGTGGGGATCCCCTTCCATAATGACAACACTGCATGCAAAAAGGCAATAAAGAAAAATCAGAGGAAAATGTAAATGTGTATAAAACAAAGGTAAATATGAAAATAATGCAAGAAACAAGCATCTTTGAGTGGGAACAAACCTAGTACTACTGGAGATCTGAACATATAAATACTCCTTCCATTATAATAAAAATCCCCAATCTATAGGTGAATTTACGATGAACTATTTGTTGTAGCGGACACAGTAGTCGATATATAATTTGAACCACATCATATAGCGTCTCCGGTATGTGAAATAGATTCCACTGCGCTTCAAATTTTCAAAAATGGAATTCCTAAAATATTACTTTTTGCACTCGGCTTAACATCGCTGAGGTAATATTAAGTTACTAGCATCCAATATACCTGTCAATGAGGATATATATAATATATAGCCAACCCCGACTTGTTTGGGACAGAAACTCAGTAGAAGTTGTTGTTGTTGTAACATCCGATATACCCTTTATAAAATATCTAAACTCTAGCGGAAGAAAACTAATTTTATGTGATCTAAATGCCTAAAACCCATCTACCAGAAAAAGTTATACAAAGTCAAGCTTTGTCAACATGTCAAAGATCATAGTTATAGTTGAGCAGTCTAAACATTATACATATTCCATTCTAGTGCTAGTGCTATTTGAGCACTGCAAAGAAAGAAATACTTCACACGTTGGAGAAAGAAAAGGAATACTTCATATTATATTTAACCAGTTAAAGTTAACTCAGTTACTCCTTTTGTGTGCCCTTTAACAGGTAGTATTCAGGAACAGCCTAAATCTGAGCAGCAAATTTGATATTCGCCAGAAGGAAAAATCTAGTTTCTAGTGGTATTAAACTTGGTCCAGCTTTAAACTAAATCCAAATTAGACAAAGTCCAAGGAAAATGTAAATTGTAATAGTCCTGAGTTAACATTGATCTCAAAACAAAAAATTGGTGTATACTCATAGTCTCATACGTTGCACCACAACATTATTTATAATAAATCACCACTTCCATCCCAATGTGTCGAAGATGCCGTTTCACTAGTTAATCCCTTTCATTACATTTAACCAGTTGTAATTCTTGATTTTAATAGTTGAAGCATTTGCACAGAATCGAATAACTAGGAAAGAAGTATATTATCATATCGAGAAATGAGCAAGATGAAGGTGCCAAAAATTCTAAGGCAGCTGCATAAAGAGGCAAGGGCTCCCATTTAAAGGAGCTTCTTGAAGTGAGAATAATAATATCAGCTGGGTAGGTTCTATTCTTATCCAGACCTCTTTCTTCTCTCTATATTCTTTATTGTCATATCAAATTCCTCATATCTTAAAGGCAGCGATTTTCAAATTTCAACACAAAACGATTCCTGATAAAAAGATTTCCAACAGTAGATAGTGTCTTGTAGGAGTATAAATCTGGTTATATTTCCATAATTCGATGTATATAAATCTTTTTTATAACAAAGAAATCCTCGAGGGTCAGTGGCACTGGCACATGGTTCGGAACTCAGTGAATAATGGGTCTGCCCATCTACCCTTCTTTTGTCTCTAGCAAGATTCAAACCTCTGATGTGCGCTACTAAGCTGCACATCACTTGTTGCACTATTACCACTAGACCAAAGCTCTTGGAGCTACAAAGTATAGCGCACATCACTTGTTGCACTATTACCACTAGACCAAAGCTCTTGGAGCTACAAAGTATACAAATTTTAATACTACTCCAACTAAAAATACAACTCAAATTTCAACACTCTTTAATATCCCATGCTAATAGTTATCAAGCAAAATAACAAGCAAGTATAATTGAAGAAAAAGGTTACCATCTTTTTGGAGCACTAGAGGGAAAGGTTTCATCAGGTATCACTACTTCTTCTTCTTCTTCTTCCTTCTTAGGCTTTTCCTCTCTCAGAGCTGCCCTTTGCATAAACTGAAATTACAAAAACATTAAAAAAAATCTTTAAATACAGCAATTAGGCCTCAATCTCATGTACTTGGAGTCAACTACATGAACGATCTATATCCATCCAACGTTCTCCAGCTAAATACCAGCTTTAGTCTGAAGCAGGATTCAAACTTGTAACACGCGCCTTCACTCTAACCAATAGACCATAGCCCCGGTGGGCTGGGCTGTATCCGTTCCCTCTATTCAGAGAATCTTTTTAAGCTAGCTATAAATCTATGGAGTTTAGACAAGAGGGGTTGCTCTGATGGTAAGCAACCTCCACTTCCAACCAAGAGGTTGTTAGTTCGAGTCTCCCCAAGAGCAAGGTGTTGGGAAGTTCTTGGAGGGAAGGATACTGAGGGTCTATTTGGAAACAGCCTCTCTACCCCAGGTAGGGGTAAGGTATGCGTACACATTACCCTCTCCAAACCCCACTAAGTGGGATTATACTGGGTTGTTGTTGTTGTATAAATCTATGGAGTTAGCAAAAACCTTCAAATAAAGCTAATATAATTTACAAAGCGTAATTGAACAAGTTGAGAAAACTATGCAAGAGCTAAAAACCCTCAAAACCCAGCTTAAAATTTCCTACTTTATTTAATTTTACAAACAAGATCAAAAGGCACCAAATTGAAAAACCTTCAAATAAAGCCAATAATTTTTATTTAATTAACAAACAGATTAGAAAAAGGGACCAAATTGAAAGCTCCTTTTTTACCTTCAAGTTCCTCAAGGTACTGGATAGTTCACGCTTTGCCATTCTGATTTTTACGCACACCAAAACTGAACTTACAGTTATAGCTAGCTGCTCTTCTACTTTTCCGGCACGGTGACAGCGCCGGCGCCGGCGTCCAGCAAACTTGAAAGGGCTAAAAGAAGCTTGCTGAACTGCAAGAGGTTTTAGTCCGGCGTGAAGGGATTTTTAGTAAGTTGAAAATAACAGATTTGCCCTTAATTCCAACGGGGTGAGTAGGGTTCGTAATTGGGCCTGCCCATGTTTTAATTCCTCCGGCCTGCTAAAGGGCATATTTGTCTATTAATAGTTAATCCCCGAATTGCTACAACATACCCTAGTAAAATCCCATTAGTAGGTAGTAAAGTGCATGCAGACTTTAGCCCTTCTCCAAAAAGTACAGAGAGGCTGTTTCCTGGAATACCCGAATTGCTAATTAGGTGCATTCTTATTTCAAATTATATTTCGTATATAAAATAATATAGATTCGTACACAATTTAATACAAATATTATTTAATACCATCAATCAAATGTTACAATAATTATGGGCCGATTATGTTTTCTTTCTTTTGCGGTCAACATATATTATCTTATGTGAAAATTTATGCTGACTTAATTCTTGTTATACCCCAACCAAAAGAGCATTTAATGTTTTACTAGTTTTGTTGTTTGCTATATTAAATCAATAGTGTCACGCCTCAACTTTGGGGAGCGCGACCGGCGCTTAAACGAGTGAACCCGGTCGAGCAAGTATGTTAGATACTTTCCACTCAGCCCGCCTATGACCAAGAGAAGGCGCGTTTCCATTAGTTCAAATAGTTGAAGGATCTTTACAACATTACTAATTCATTTCATTTTACTACATCATTGTTAAGTTTCCTAAATACATACACTTTACAATGTAGTGGAACAAGAGTCCAAAACATGTCATGATCCATCTGATCTTTCTAGCACCGATACACAACCCACATAAATGTATACGGAGCCTCTAAAGATACAAAAGACAGTTATGATAATGCCGACTACAAGGCCCCGGCTATACCTCAAAACGTGGTAAACATATAAAAAAAAATGCACCCAAAGAGTTCTTCTTTACCACTTTTCAGATAGAGGGGAACATGATCCCGGGATGAAATGGGCTCACCAAGTCTGCTGGGAAGGTGATGATGTACCACTAGCTGTGATCAACACTGTCTGTTATGGAAGCACCTACATCCATTTAAAGGTGTAGCACCCCCGACAAAAAGGACGTTAGTACTGTCGAATGTATTAGTATGTAAAGCTAAACACCAATCTTAATAGAATGAACAATGAGACAAAGGGGAAGCAGTCATGATTTACAACAAGAGCTTCAAACAATACTAAAACATCAAGTAAGGATCACGTAAGTTCTTGGTTCAATTTCCATCTTATTAGGTTGGTAATCTTAGTGTCATGTGCCATAATTCACATTACCACCGTGTTCCTATACGGAGTCAGATCTCCCCCCCCCCCCCCCCCCGCCGATCAGTTAGGTCATCTCATTTGAGACATTAAACGGTTGTTCCTGTTTGGAGTAGAATCAACAGAATAGCTAATAGCATAAAAACAGATCCAAGTAAAGTATAAAGGAACAACTGATGCCTTGATATTTCTTTGTCTCGAACCCCATACCCCTATAATAATGGTAGAGTTAGGGGTGGCCCCAAAGCGGAATTGACCGGTGGTGCTTGGTCGAAGCTCTAGTAGGTAGCCACTCCCTTCTCAGAGAACCGTACGTGAGACTTCCGCCTCATACGGCTCCGTCCCGAGCTTACCACCATGTATGCGGTATGGCGTCTGATCGCGGCCCGATCAGATAGGCCATCTCACTTGAGACATCATCTTTTCAATCAATTATTTCACTTCATATTTCTTTTCCATCTTTCAATACATTAGCACAAGTGGCCTCATTCATTAAGTCTTTCTTGGCACTTGGCTGTATTTTACAATTCATGTTTTTTTCTATTTACACATTAACGTTATTGTCATATCAATAGCAACAAGGTCTTTCATTCACGACTTGATTACACACGGGAGCAATTTAGGTTCTAGAACACATAGAGGCTTTTTCACACAATTTGACATAATAATCTTTATTTGAATTCGACTAGAAGTCTAAGCATTGTTGCATATCTTCCATATCTTTAGCATATTACCAAATGATAAGATAACATGATGAAAGCACATGGACACATATTACACATATTTCCTTCCAAGCAAGCACATTTGGAATAACAAGTTCTATACGATCATTTTGGGACTTACCCCGATTTCATGAACACCAAGGGGGGTTCAATTCTAAGAAGAGGGGGTTTTAGCCATACATACCTCAATTGAGCTTCTTAAAACCTTAGATGTTCTGGAGTTAGCAACTTCAATCTATTTTAGCAATGTAGCAAAATCGAACCCAAAATTAGGAGAATGATCATAATTCTAGCTCACTAGAGTATTCTATCAAACACTATGTGTGCATTGCTGTTTTTAAGGCCTTTTATGAAATATTCTACCATTCCTCCACCTATTCTTAGTCCACAACCTTCCCACATACTTTAGGAATCCATGCATGCAAGATATCCACCCCCACACCAAATAATTATCTTACTAATTATTCTCCTTTTACTAAATTTTTGAAAATAAAAGTTAGGGTATAGATTTTTACCTTTGATAAGAGAACCTTCTTGATACTCTTCAAATATTTAGCAAGAATTGATGGATAATAGTGTGAAGGTTGATCTCTCTCTCTCTCTCTAAGAACTCTCTTCCTCACTCTAGAATATCAGAAAATAGCTCAAAATGGTGTATGATATGTGTTCTTAACGAAATAGGGTCAGGTTTAAAATAGGAGCCCCGACACGAATCTGCGGTCGCATAATGGTAATGTGGTCCGCGAAAATTGGCCCTGAGAACTGGGCTGGTCTGCCTCACTCTACGGCCGTTATGCGGCCCGCAGACCTGCTCTGCGGTCGCATAATGCGTTGCAGAACCTCCCTCTGCAAAAGTCTAAGGACATATGTACGCCCAAAGTGCGGCCCGCAAAATGGATATGAAATCGCATAATGGGACGTAAAAATGACATCAAAATTGGCCAAAAAGACTGCCTCACCTGTGGCCATTCTGTGGCCCGCAGAGTGATTATGCAGCAGCATAATGGGCCGCAGAAATGCACCCTTCTGTAAAATATTTTTCTTTAACTCTATAGCATATTGTTCAATCCAAAAAGTTTGAACCGCTGCATAATCCTAACTTGGCACCATAAAATTCTGATTTTTAGGAAGATTTTTATAGGGCCTTACAAATAGTAGTAATTTAAGTTGATCACATATAAAAAATGGTTGATGTTGAATCATGGGACATGTTTCCTCCAAAAAAAAAGTATTTTAATGATAAATACTATGTTCCTATATGTAGTTATTTTATATTGTTGAAAATATTTCTATACAAAAACTCTATCGAAGGTTTGAATGGACACTAAAAAGAAAAAAAATCACTTACCTTTATTTATAAACACAATAAGGGTCAAAATTACCCATATTATTTGCTAAATAGTTTAAGATATTCTCTGTTTATCTATCAGTTCAAAAATAAAATTACCCTTATGTCTAGCGGCAGAACCATTGAGCCTTCAATTTAATGACATTTCATTTTTTTACTGGGCTACGTGGCAATCGCGGGCTGAAACCAAGCCAGATATTATACCCGTCCCATTTATTTGACCCGCCTCATTATTTTTTTTTTCTTTTTCTTTCTTCCTATCACCCAACACACCCGCTTTCACTCACCTAAATCCCAAATATTCCTCTTCCTAACCTCTCTTCCTCCATCACAACCACCATTGGCTTTATCATCGGCCAATTGCCTCCACCATTGGAAATTCGGAATTACCCCTGTTGCGACCAAACACACACGCAAGTATACGTGGCCGTCAAGTAATAAAGTGACCCGAAAGTCAGATGTCGAACCTACAGAGACTTAGATTAATCGTTAACTAAGCAAACTAAAATCAATTAACTGTCCAAGATAATCAAAAGTTTTTTTTTTCTATTACAACTACTATTGCGAAATTTAAACACGTAACCAAGGGGATATAGATTCCGGGGTTGTGGTTGGTTTATCAATCCTATTAAGTTCGTAATTACGCCTGTTAATCCAAATTATCTAAAATTGCTAATTAACCGGATTGTTATATAAATAGCATATTCCCACAATACTATCTGTCTATCCATAATATATCAACTATATATTCCTATGGTCTTGAATCTATTATGAACGAATATAATACGGTATTCAACTAAGCAAGACTATTAGGTATATTCCTATCCTAACCGCGAAATCTTTCCCCGAGCCACGGGTTCAAAAACAAGCTCTCTCTAATCCTACTCTATTCTAAATACGGCTTTCCCAAGTATAAATAGATAGTCAATAGAACTCAACTGCTGGCCAAACAATTAAGCAATTATGCACAGAATTAGAGAAACAACCAAAAATGATAACTCGAATTATAGTGATGTAATTAATAAACTTCAATATTTATGACAACCACAACCCTAGAACGTGAAGCTTAGCTCCACATAGACATGATAGCAAAACAACAATTCATCCAAAGAAACGTAAAGATTACTAATTTTGATGGAAGAAAGATGGAATCTGATGAATTCCAGCCTCCACGGCAGCTCCGTGCTCTCCCTAGTTCTAAAGTATGTCAAAAGCCACTCTAAAAAATGTCCTCTCTTCGCAAGTCATGTCCCCCTCCCCCCCCCCCCCACCCCCAAAAGTTAGTTTAAAGACTATTTATATGGGATATGAGTAGCACGGGGTTAACTAATACAAGCCCACTTCAAAACAACCTTTTTAGGTTAGCTCGTTCACTCTCTCGTGTGCACGCGAGAGCGAACGAGCAAAGTTCTTCTCCTTTTCTTTCTCTTCTAAGTCTCTCGTGCACTTCCATGCCTTTTTGCTATGCTTCGCTGCTTTTGTATTCAAGCTTTTCCTCAGTATCTCGTTCACTCTCTCGTGTGCACGCGAGAGTGAACGAGCAAAGTCCTTCTTTTGTCTTTTGGTCATGAATCAACTTCTTTTGCTCACATTTCGTCCAACTTGCTCCTATATATATAAGAATGCACGTAATAAGCATAATTCAATACAAAATCTTATGTAACCTACCGTAACCACACAAGTTATGAGATGAAAGTAAACCAAAAAATATATATTT